GAGACAGAGGGTGAGAGTGAGAGAGAGAGAGAGGAAGTGAGAAAGCAAGCCACCAGGTCCAGGACTCGAACCCTGGTCAGTCATGTGGGAGTGTCCAGCACCTTAACCACCATGCCACCCGCTGGTCCCCAACCAAATTCATTCTTACATGTAAAATGATTGTGTCTATTTTGACATTTTTAGGAGCATATGGAAAGAACAGAATAGAGGACTAGTTAAGAAACATTCAGTTTCCTTAAGAATTTCTTACATTATGCCCATTATTCACGGGGCAAAAAGGTTTAGTCCTAATTTTATTTGCATAACATGATCCTGCTTTTTAAAAAAATTTGCCTTCAGGACCAGCGGATGGCATAATGGCTACATCACTGGACTCCCATGTAGATGACCATGGTCAGCATCCCGGACTGGGTGGCTTAAACTCACTCCGGGTGCATGTGTGTGCATGCCCAAGATCCTGAGAGGAGAATGGAGGAGAAGGGACTGCAGTGTGGCCATCCCCCCTCGGGGGGGGGGGGGGGTTTTTCCCTTTCTTGTTCTCTTCCTCTCTCTTTCTAGTGAGCATACACGCCCTATAGCAAAAACCTCTCCAAAAAAAAAAAAAAAAATTCCTTCACAATAATGAAAAATGTTAGCATTTTATCAGTCTGCTTTTTCCAAAAGAAATAATTTCTTATAAAACGATTTTCCATTGTTAGATTTTAAAATGTGTTTTAGAAAGCATTATAGGTCCCATACATTTAAAAAATGATTAGTATTCTATAATAGTGCAAACATAACTTCTAATTTTTAAAAACCCATGATACTCACTTATTTAAGAGACATTTATTGAGCACTTACTATGTGAGGAACAGGTACTAGTGAAACAGAAATGTATTTAACTCTATCTTTATTCTCTAACTTTAAATTAAAAGATCTTTGAAATGCATAAAAATGATTTCCAGAACATATCAGGAGACTCTCATATAACAGAGCAACAGGGCAAATAGAATGAATAAGCTTTTGTTATATGGTAAATTTTAATAATGTTTCAATATTAAATTATTTCTATATTAAACAATTTATTACCTTGACACGAGAGTCTTCATTCATCAACCTGCTTTACAAACTATAGTCAGAGCCTTTTGAATGAAAAAACCTCACACAACTCTATGTCCTTCCTCACTCTCTTCCATCAAAACAGCTTGGAGAAAGTAAACAAAAAATTCTGATGGCAGTAAAAAAATAATTCAGATAAACTTTATACAACTATCAAAGCACTGTACAAGCCAAGAAGTACACTGTGTAAACTATTCTTGTTATTTTTTTAAAGAGCTTTCTTCCTTAACAGCTATGGAATATATATATATACAGAAAGAGGCAAATCCCAGAGCTACTTGATGATCAAACAAACACACCAAAAAGAGCAAGAGTGCCAAAGGTAATTTTATTGTTCCTTTAATCAGAGTAACAAAAATACCTTGGGAGTGTCCAAGGTGAGATATGAAATGGAGGAACTGGTAATGTTCACATGTGAAACTTATCTCTTAAAGTGTATGTCACCAAAAATGGTTCCATATTGCCAATTTAGTAAACAGTTAAGTCCAACCATCTTAGCATGTCTGGGACATGATGCTTATATGAACAACTTTTCTCCCTTTAGCTATGTTTACAAATGGTATGGAATATAATTATAAATGCTTTTGTCATCCATAATGTTAGAAATATAAGATTTTACATAAAATAATCATACTCTGTATATATTTTAGAAAATCCTACTTGTAAAATTAAAACAACTTTCACACATACATTTAAAAATAAAAGATGGCAAACAATACAAAATTATAAATGCAAGAGTCTTCCTGCCTCCTTCAAAGTTTTAAGTTGTAAGTATAAGAATTTTTCAAAATTAAACAGATCATTGTTTCTGAAATATAGGCACTGCACTTTTAAATAAGAATAAAAGACAAAAAATAATAAGATACAATAGAATTTTGTAAAAAATGTGTCACTAATACTCAAGTTAAATAATCATATATGAACTAAAACACTGATGAAAACTACATGATTCAGCTCAACTTATGATCAAATTTTTGTGGACTTCTTTCTACATCACATCATTTGTAAAATTTTCTTTTTTAAACCATAAAAAATAAACAAAATATGGTTATTTTTTATTCCAAAACTCCCATTAGTATTTTAGCTGCTAGTTAAAATGTAAAAAAAAAAAAAAAAAGAAAGAAAAAACTTACTTGATCTGTCCCATAAGGCAGTATGTTCAGAAAAATGAAGGCTGTCATTGTCCAGAGCTGTTTTCTGATCATGTGCAGAACCTTTAGAGTGTCTGTGAAATAATCGGCTAGCAAAACCTTCCAATTTCTGAAGAGCAGTAGCTGTACCTGTGTACTGGTTACAAGGTAGTTCTCGATAAGCTGCCATTCATGTGCGTTTACACTTTACTTAAAGTAATTGAAAATATTTCCAGAAGGAGCTCAACAACTTCTAACACAGAAGCTAAGAGCTATGCATGTGTCAAACTTCCTGTTTGCAGGGTATTCAAACCACTACTGCAGTTCTGTTTCCTGTTAATATAAAACAGCACATTACTGAGCTTTTCTTAGCAAAACTCTCTCATCTTAACTAGAGATGGGGATTTTCAAAACTTGCCTAAAAGGCTCCATGCTTGAGTGTTTTAATAGGTAATTAAAACACTAAATATAAAGATATATATATGCGTGTGTGTGTGTGTGTGTGCATATATATATATAGTGAGCTAAATTTTTTTTAATAAAAGGAAAACTAGTTAAACATGTATTACAACTCTATCCAAACAACTAAAGGACAAACCACTCTCCAAATAAAAATATTAAACAGAAAGGTTGTATTTTTTTTCCCAGAAAATCAGCTAATATACATATTGTCTGAATCCTTACAAGTAGTTAGCTTTTCATCAAAAACTGGTATGGAGTAAATATGAAGAACTCTTGCAAAACAAATTTATAACACATATGTTGCTACTAAGAAAAAAAATATGAACTAGTACTTAAAAAAATAACTGAATATTGTTAACTCATTCACTTAAGTTAAATATACAAGGAGATTTCAAAAAGTTCATCGAAAAATGGGATTAAAACACAAATTTATTTTGGTGCAAAAACATTGAAATCCATGCCCAGTTTAATCATAATATGCATTTCCATGAATGTTTTGAAGACCCTTATTATAAAAGAATTACAGAAATTTAATATGCCAGCATTGTTTATTAAACATATAATCTGCTGATGTGTGTCTAACAGTATATTTTAAAACACTAATAATTGCAAAAAAAAGATATTAAGTTATATAAAATTAGTCATAACAAGAAATTTCAATGAAAAGAAAGAGTATTCCTTCCAGGTGACATAGACATGTTAATTTTGAAAATTGAATACTAAAAGACTCACCACCCTATTTTCTGACTTATAAACATATCCTCTGATTAAAGGTGAATAAAATTTGCCATCATCGATTGGCAGGAAATAAACCTTCAGCATTTAACAAAGATTTTAAATATTTGCCCTTTAAAAAAAAAAAAATATATATATATATATATATATATATTTATTTATTTATTTTTCTGTTTGCTACAGAGAGCAAGTGGTCACCTTCCAAGGGGATGGCAACACTGCAAACCCTTCTCCATTCTTCTGTTAGGATTTTGGGTTCACAATCTTGGGTGTGATTTTCAAGTCCTCTCTGGTCCAGAACTCAAGCCACTCAGTCTGCCATGCAGGATCCAGCTGCTTTAATCTCCATGCCATCTGCTGGCCCAGTATTTGCCTTTTGACAATAATTAAAGAATAAGAAATTTGTTTGTTTTTTCCTTTGAAAGCTTAAAATATGGTTCAGAAGGGAAGGAAGAGGACAGGACAGGGAAAGAAGGAAGAGAAAAGGGAAAAGAAGAAAAAGATGTTTTAAAAAATCTATCTAAAAATTGGGACCAGCAGATGGCATAATGGTTACAATGCTGGACTCCCATGTACTGTAGCTCCAGTTCCGAACCCGGCAGCTTAAAACTAAGGCTGGGCAAGGGTGCGGGTGCATGTGCGTCCGTGCCCAAAATCCTGAGAGAAGAATGGAGAAGACGGGATAGCAGTGTGGCCATTGCCTCTGGGGAGTGCTTTATTGCTTTCTGTCTCTGTCTCTCTGGTGAGTGTGCACAAAAATCACTCTCTCAAAACAAACAAAACTATCTAAAAATAACTTAGTGCAAGATTTTCTGCCATAACATTCACAAATATAAGAAATAGGAAGGATAATGACAAATAAAATAAACAGAAACAATAATATAATCAAATTAGGACAACCCCCCCCCCCCAATACACACACACAAATCCACTAAGGAAACACTGACAAACGGAAATTTCTAAAATAACCTCATGTCCCCTCCTTCAGTCATTTATCTCTATGACACATTATCCTCTCCAAAATATTACAAGCATATATTACTCTCTTTCCAAATATACAGACTAATCCTAATTTTTCAGCCCAACCATATTTATTTTAGCACATATCTAGCCAGATTTACTTATATTCAATGTTGCTTGAATTAAATACAGAAATTCTAGATTTCTAACTAGAACACTAAGATTAATTTATTTAAAACAATGCATAAGCTTTAATATAAAATTACTGTGGCAAAAAACATAAACTTCACTAGGTTAGTATCCTGAAAACACTATATTTGAAATCTGCACGTTTTTTTTTTCAATAAAACTGTTTCCATTTTGTTATAAAGTTCTTACAGAAGGTAGAATATTTAGACCTTAGAGCAATGTTTCTATATATGGTAACATGACCAGGAAGTTGTTGCCATGGAAGTGCTTAGAGACAATTTTATTTTTATTTAAAAAAAAAAAAAAGAATGGAGAAAGAAGAACTCTACTGGCATCTACTGCTAGAAAGAAACAATTACAGTTTTAACTCGGTTTATGAATGCCTTCATAAATCTAATTGACTTTAAGATGTTACTTGTTATTCTGCCTAGTGATATTTTCAGAACTTTAATTTGTACTATGTCTACTCATGCATCAAAATTTGCATAATAGCAATATCTTGTAATAATAATTTAAAACTCAAGAATAATCAACTCCATGAGATTATAAAGACTTTATTATTATTGCTGTGTTAATTTTCTAAATTATAGAAAATTTGAGAGTTGTACCTATTTAACTGCCATGAGGTACCACAAAATACTGTTTTATTTCTTTTATTTAACAATAGTAATGATATATTTGCCAAGTACTTTACAACATATAAAATAATTTGCATTGTAAAATAATTGTGCAATTATTTTAAGACTCATGATAGCCTTACAAATGAAGCAAGCAACACGGCTATTATCCCTATTTTAGGATGTGAAAAGAAAACATTAAGTGACTTGCTCAAAGTCATCTAGGTCTTTTTAACTCCTAGATCAGAGATCATTATACTTACTTCATGACACTTAATTACCGTAAGAAGTAAATATGTCTTTTAAAAATTATTTTATATATTCAATCACTACATATATTCAATCACTACATCACCACAGCTTGTGAAATGAATTTTTCCACCACACACTAGTCTAATAAAATACATTATCATACACATTATCTTCAACAGTCTTCCATTTCTGTGTCCCTTAAATCTCTCGTGTCTCTATTTTTCTCCTTGATTCTTTTCTTATTGTTCTCCACCACCCAGCCTCTTCCCACCCTGTCTCCAGTATCCACAACATTCTCCATGGAAAAGTAAACTTTTCTTTAAATGCAGTATTTTTCAATCAAGGATGAAGAGGTAAGGGTGAAAGGATAGCAGTGGGTGGGATTTGTTCTTGGATATATTGTCCAGGGTCCAATATGTCTTGAAAAATGTTTTAAGTCAGATGATCACTTCTTTCAATCAGCTATGATTTTTATTTATTTTAGCTTATAAATTTAAAGTTATGATTAATTCAACATAATTTGTTCATCTGGGTCTCCTTGTCCTAGGTGGCTAAGTCACAACCTGTTTTCAAACACTGATTTTCACCTTCTGATGAATCCTATTCTTCACTGCTTATTCACCTCCAAAGAAAGGTTTACAAACATTTTAACATCTGCAAGCATATTATTGCACAAGGGTAGAAATATTTATTGTAGTTGAATACTGTAGCTATTCGATCTTAAACATATTATTCCCTTTATTTATTACATCAATTCTAGAATCTTTAGTATGAAGAAAAAAATTTTTAAAGATATCTAAAGATGGTCTCCTTTTTATATATTGCTGGGGTCGATATAATAATATTTTATCAAGGATGTTTGTGTTTATGTTCACAAAAGATATTGTTTTGTAGTTTTATGTTCATGTTCTGTTTTTGCCTGATCTGGCACCAGATTAAGGATGGCCTCATAAAATAAAATGGAAATATTCTGTCTTCTACTTTCTAGAAGAAATTGTGAGAAATTTTATTTCTTCCTGAAATGTTTGGTAGAATTTGCCAATAAAACTATCTGGGACAAGATTACAAATACTAGAGCAATTTCCCCAATGCAAATAGGATTATAGAGTTATCTAGTTTATGTTGAATAAATACTGGTAGTTTATGTCTTTCAAGAAATAACCTACTTCAACTAAACTGTTAAATTTATGTCAAAGAGTAGTTGCTCATAGTTTCTATTACCCTTTTAATGTCTATGGCATTTATAACCCAAAACTACATTATTTATCTTGCTGCTCAAATTATTGCAGCTTTGACCACTGGAAACTTTCAATTGCCTCCTGAGTTTCTTCACCATATCCCCACCATTGTGTGTGTGTACATGCACACATGTGTGTACAAGTGTCTGATCACTTCTTTTTCTAACACTACAAGATGCCCCTTGCCCATTCTGTATATTTCCTGCAGTCCTAGAATAATCAATTTCCCCAGGATCTCTAGAGTTCCTTTCCTTGGAGAATGGTATTAGAAGTCAAGGTCTGGAAATTGGGTATACTTGTGCTATCAGGATGTTGTTGCTTCTAGGCCCTCTTACCTGAGAAAGAAAATGTATGTGTTTATAAGTGTGTGTATATTCCCTTATAAGTGTTTCTCTCTCTCTCTCTCTCTCTGTCTCTCTTTTTTGGAGAGGTTTTTGCTAATAGGGCGCATGCGCTCGCCAGACAGACAGAGAGATAGAGAGCGAGAAATCACCCCCCGGGGGGATGGCCACGCCGCAATCCCTTCTCCATTCTCCTCTCGGGATCTTGGGCATGCACGCACACGCACCCAGCGTGAGTCTCAAGCCACCGGGTCCAGGACGCCAACAGCAGTCGACTATGTGGGAGTCCAGTGACATAGCCATTATGCTAACTGCTGGACCCTCTCTCTCTCTTTACTATTTCTGAGATAGAAAGAGGGAGACAGGGAAAGACAGGGAGGGAGAAGGAGAGAGAAAGAGAAAGACAGAGACAGATACTCTTGACAGAGTCTTTGCTATGCTATGATTACAATCCCCACTCCCTGCAGCCTTCCAGCCAGCTAGTCACAGGC